AAATTCCGACCGAAAATCACGCTTTTCCGCAAATCCACCCCACTTGCATGGAAAGTGCGAGTAAAAGTTTGTTTTCTGCGAACACGTGTTATACTTTATGCGGAAGAAGAGTCCGCCATGAAATTGTTTGTGCACTTTTATGCCCTTCATCCGATTGATATATGCACAATTTATATACAACTTTTACCGGATGGGAAGAAGAAAAACTGAAAGCGGCAACGTAGGCAATACCCAATCGAATTTCTTATGGTTCTTAATTTGTTGAAAGTTTTTAAAGTATATCCATTAAAATATGCTATAAAATAGCATAGCATACATTTCGGGGCCGCAGCAAGGGCAATATTTATTTAAAAATCAACAACAACAAAAACAAGTAAGAGGCTCTAGTCGGGAGCTCCCGACTAGGGGATACCCTGAACCCTCCTCATCCAACATCAAATGCATATATATATTCTATTTTAGAAGCTATATGTCAAGTTTGGTGACTCTAGCTCTTATTATTTACCAAAATTGCCCAAAAAACAGGATATCGATATCGATTTTTATCGATTGCTTGGAAACGGAGTAAGTTCGGAGCACCTACATCTAAAATTTCAAGTCTCTAGCTCTTATAGGTTCTGAGATCCTTGCGTTCATACATACGGACGGACGGACGGACAGACAGACGGACATGGCTAGATCGACTCGGCTATTGATGCTGATCAAGAATATATATACTTCATGGGGTCGGAGATGCTTTCTTCCGCCTGATACATACATTTGGATTTTGCACAAATACAATATACCCTTATACCCATTTTTAATGGGTTCAGGGTATAAAAAGAAAACAATTATGATATTCCCTTCAACGTCGAAAAGTTGGCTTCAACAGCGAGAAAATTTAATTAAGCTACAGCCAACATGGGGGCAGGCGCCGCTCATCAATCAAAATATTTGAAATATTCGACGAGTGAGCTCCGTACTGAAATCAATTTCAGGGAGCTTCGTTAATTACTCAACTGAATCTGGCTCTGGGTCTGACTGGTATTTGGCATATCGTTTATCTTAATTTGTATTGATTAAAGATCAAATTGCTCAAGGGAAAATTAAAGAGCCGATGGTCAATTCAATGCAAAAAATATGCCTGTGAGCTCTTTTTATACCCTGAACCCATTAAAAATGGGTATAAGGGTATATTGTATTTGTGCAAAATCCAAATGTATGTAACAGGCAGTAGGAAGCTTCTCCGACCCCATAAAGTATATATATTCTTGATCAGCATCAATAGCCGAGTCGATCTTCCTCCATGTCCGTCTGTCCGTATGTATGAACGCAAGGATCTCAGAACCTATGAGAGCTAGAGACTTGCAATTTTAGATGTAGATGCTCCTAGTGCCTGCGCAGATCGAGTTTGTTATCGATAATCGATAACTTACTCCGTTTCCAAGCAATCGATTAAAATCGATATCGATATCCGGCTTTTTGGGCAATTTTGGTAAATAATAAGAGCTAGAGTCACCAAACTTGACATATAGCTTCTAAAATAGAATATATATATGCATTTGATGTTGGAAGAAGGGGGTTCAGGGTATCCCCTAGTCGGGAGCTCCCGACTGGAACGTCTTACTTGTTTCAAATATGTTTCATTTTTATATATTTATATTTATTTATACAACAAATTTGTTAAGAATTTTCGCCTTCGTATTTTCTCTTTGATTTCATTTCGAAAAATATTTCATATTTATGAAATGTATGCAGAAAACATTTTATGAATTTTCTCTTCGAGTTCATGCTGGAAAAATATATTTAATTTTAATAAAATAAATGCCAAAAAAAAATATTAAGCATTTTGTCTTTGAGCTCATATGCAAATATATTGCATACGTCTTAATTGTTAAGTATTTGCTCAATTAATTTCATTTCGCAATATATTTAATTTTTATTAAATATTGTATATATAAATATATTTCATTTTTATAAATTTTCTTTTTGAGTGAATCCGGATAATATGAATAATACCTGCAAATAATTGCGCTGACTGCAAACATGGTTATATTTATGCAATTTCCAGGCTCGCTGCCGCACGAATTTTGTATTTTATCCTTTATTGTTGTTGTTGTTGTTGTTTTTCGCCCCTATGACATTTTTTTATAGATAGCAAATCATTCATTCCAACCCATAATCACCCACGCCCTGAATTTCACTTGCAGTCAATCGAATCAATTCCACAGAAATATGTAAAGCATACTTTTGAGGGTCAGAGCGAAAGACAAAAAAATGTTTTATTTCGCCAACTCACCCAATTTGAACCCTTTGCCAATCAGATGCATTCCAGTTGAACGACTCCGTTCTTGTTACTGCCAAACTGACCCAGCCCTTTTGCGAGCAGCTGAATTTCAGTTCAATTTCAACTAGTTTAAAGCCAACTCACGTGGAAGTTCTTAGCTTCGTTCTGTTGGTTGAAGCTTCAAATTAAATATTTTCCTCAATTGCGAGCCAAACCTGAATCATTTTTCCAATACACTTTTTTCATAATTTTCCAATTTTTGTCTCGCTCTCACTCTTGGCTACAAGTGCCAGGATTGCGAGCCGGAGACCCAATAAATTCTTTACTAGAAGCCTAACCTTAAGCCGAACCAGTTGCTCAAAATACGAACCAGTAGCTGAACCGAAGCAAAGTATCTACAGGTTCATGAACCGAATCTAAAGATATAGAGCTGGTTCGAACCGTGCATCGAACCAGCGACATTTCCTCCTGTTCTTACATGCAATGCTTGACAATCCCATACAAAGACGAACCAATTCTTAAAGCTAAAGTTTCAGTTAACAAAACAAAAGGGAAGTACCTTACCCAATTGTTCATATTTATAGTCAAATATAATATATATACTATATATATAAGGATCGTAAGAGATTCTCTTCAGGCATGTTTTTCCTTACCCAGAACAGAACTGCAACAAAAGGAGTCAGATAATAGTTTGTTTTTTATTCCCCCTTAAATTCTAGCCAATAATTAAGTTCTTAAGTCCTATTAAACTAGTTAGTTAACTAACGAACTACTTGAGACTAAACGAATGCAAAAGCTAACGAATAGACAAAGTTTGATGAATATAATTAATGGGCGTTACAAATAGCATAGGTACTATATAGCATAGACAGTTGCGTATCGGGCTGCTTATTAGTCAAACATTTAGCTGGTAAAGGAGTCAAGTTAGGCAGACTGGAGGACGAGACAAGTCTGGGGGCGTATAAATAGTTTAGCCCAAGTCGCAAGCATTAATGGCCAAACAGATGACAGTAGAGTCAGGAGGAGCTGCGAATGGACTAATCGGGATGGTGGGAAGCGGTAGGGGGGAGGGGCATGGGGCTGGTCCTGCCGGATTACGTACATTCCAAAAATTGGAGCACATTAATCAATCCAATTAATATGAAAAAGGTCAGCGATGCCACCGACTACACGCGCGCCCACGAAGGTGGACTATGTAATTTTCGAAAATGTTAGAGTCCACAGAGCCGGGGCCCCGACGCATATGATTTACGAGACAACTTCAACGGACGACCCAGCGACAGACAACAGATAATAATTTATTGATATCAAACATTCCATAAGTATATTGTGGGTGTTGTCAGAGCTTTACTGGACAAAATGTATTCTATAGACGGCTAAACGGTCACACACACACACACACACATGAGCTGTAGCTAGAGATGAGCTCGTGTGCTACACATCGGCACAGCCGCAAGTATCGGCACGAATATCAACAGCACGAACATAACCTACAAAGCTTGAACTAACAAACAAACTATGATAGCTAACTATTTATTATTCAAGTTGAAAAAACTGTTTGCCAAGCCCATTTTAAAGTTCTACAATAAATCATAGAGAACAATGTTTGTGCTGAAAATGTTTGATGTCTAAAATGCATATTTTTGGGAGGGCAAACTTTAAACGTAAAAAGCTCAAGTGTTAGGCTCAATAATAAGCTTGAGCTTTTCAAAGTTCTCTCTTTTGTATCATATCTAAACGCCTTGAAGATAAGCTCGAATTTCTGCCCTAACATGAAACTCAAGGCATGAAAGGAACTTACAACCCGTTGAAATACCACCCAATGCCAATACTACACTGAATGCGCTTATAATTCGCAATAAGTTTTAGCATAAGTGTGCTTAAAGCTCTCGACTGTCGCGCTCTGGTCGTGCCTTCTAAATCTTGCTGCACACACATCTCTAGCACACACAGACACATACTCGCACACGTACAGGCGAGAGACCTGTGACCTACAAAGTTGGTTAATCGTTGCCAAAGGGTGTGAGCACAATTCAGGTTCGAGTTGGCTTTCGGCCTCGGCCTCGGTCTTGGCCTCGGCCACGGCAACGGCAACGAGCTCAGTTTCGGCTTCGGCTCGGTTTCGGACGCGGCTTCGACAAACGGCATTCGGCAAGTATTTCCCAGCAGATACTTCACATGGTTATATATTATAGTAATTATGTATATGCCCCATGCCTAGGCGACGTACTTAGACCATAATTGAAAGCTAGCTCAAATGCAAAAGCGAGTGAGAGAGAGAGAGGGAGAGAGAGAGGGGGGAAGGGTTATTCAGATAGAGAATGTTTTAATTTGTTGCAATTACTTTACAGTTGTATTTTAATTGAACAATATTCAAGAATTTTGTACATTCATACTTAACACACAACATTTAATTAGTTTCAAAAACTTGAATAGAATATATTTAAAAAGGAATTGAAAAAGAGAAACATAATCAAAAATCAAACAGAATAGACGTACCATACAAATACAATAAATGCTATAGATAATAGAACTCTGGCCTTCGAGCGTGCCTTCTTATTCTAACAATAAATCAGTTAAGATTCCGATAATTGAGCCCAGGCACAAAATATAGTTGGATTTCTATATATGGCTAGTGCTTCATTCATATAAGACACACAGAGACAGCGAGTGTGAGTGGAAAAGGGGGGCGCAATTGGAGCGAGGGGGGGGGGGGGGGGGGGGGGTTCACAATGTTGGTTCACACGCTCTAGATGGATTTTTAATGTTAACAAATTCGAGTTTTCATAGTTGCTTTAGTTTGATTCTTTTCTTTGGTTTACTTTTCATTTGCTTAAGTTTTTTTTTTTTAAATAGTTACTTGATTTACTTTTTTTTTTTAGTTAGTTGTGCACGCACACTTAAATAATTACATGCATGCACACATGTGCATAGCATTTGTTTGAAATGTCAACGAATTGGAATTAGAATAAAAATGTTTGATTTTCATTTAGTCGATAAATTGCTGTGTGTGTGTGTGCTGGTGTGTGTGTGTGTGTGTATCTATTGGCCGCTTAGACTTAAACATCAACAACCATTTTCTTATGTATATCCGTATTTCCCACGACGGAACAGAACTCATCGAATGATATTTTGCCATCCTCATCCTTGTCGGCGAAACAGATTGTCTTGTCGACAATCTGTTGCAGTTGCGTATCCTTTAAATTGTTGCCAACCATCATTTTGAGCACCTGAAAGAGCTCACCGTTTGAGATGTAACCATCATTGTCCATATCGTAGATGCGGAATGCGAAACGCAATTTGGATAGCTTATCGCCGCGCACACTGAACTGTGAGACGCCCTGAATGAATTCCTTGAAATCGACCTCACCATTGCCATCCGCATCGAATATATCGATGACGCGCTGCACGAGCGGATTCTGTTGCAGTTCCGGCAGCGACATAAACTCATCTATGCTCAGCGCCCCCGAATTGTCCAGATCGAGTTTACGGAAACGTTTGCCCAGACGACGGATCTCATCTGCATCGAAATTGGAGCACATGTCCATTGGCAGCGATGTTTCGTTACCCATGTCGAACTTTGTAGCTCTTCTTCTCTGCGTGCGCTCTTTTTTCCTCTAAAATGTATCTAAAAGCAAAAAAAAAAAAAGGTTTGTTCTTTTTTTTTCTTTTGCACATGGATTTTCGGTGCTTTGGCAGCACTTTACTCACCTAACGGTGTCTCGCTGTTGCTTTTATCAGTTTACCGTTATCCTTATGCGCACATCCTGCAAGCAAAACAACAACAACAACAATCAACACTTTACTTTGAATGTGTCCTATCGATTTTTCCCCGTATTTCAAGTGTTTTCGGCCAATACACAGCGCAAATCCCATTTGTAATTTTGATGTCCTTGCGTTCAATTCAGCTGCGTTTGGTCTGAATTCGCGCAAATGCATGCACACAACAAATGAATATGATTCTAATTATATATGGTTGCGTACCGTATAAAATAAAGAAACAACAAAATGCGTATACGCAGTGGGATTGTGGACACGATCTCTGCGCGTTCAAATCTCGGCTGGCTCTCAGCTTGCTGGCAAACAACTTCAGTGATTTCTATGGAGACGCTCGGTATGTATATGTATATTGGCTTGTATGTGTCCTTTAGGATATCCTTGGGTGCGTAATTGGGTCCCAGGCTTTTGAATGTGGCTATAGCAGCTAATGCAATCTATTGTGAATTTGCAAGCCAGTGTTAATATTATTCGGTATTTTTTAGTGCATTTCTAGCTGCCACCTGTAGTACATGTCTGTGTCCAGAAATAGTATTTAAATACCATAGAAAACGGATTTTTAGAAATAAAACATTACTATAACACAGTTCATCCATTATTTTTAGCTCAAGGCAAAGGAAAACAAAATATTAAATACATTTGTACAATTATCATTTACATTTTCTTTTCTTTTATGTTTTTCAAAAAGTGGCACAATTTTCAACAATTTGTACACAATTTTTTTTTTAATATCTGATAAATATAATATTGTTGCCCAGTAAAAGAGTTTTTTACCAGAATTTTGATAACATAAGAAGAGTTGAATTGAATTGTGCAGCCATAAATAAAATATAAGCACACGTTTAATATTTGCCTTAAAGAATTAATAGACTTTTAACTTTCAACCAATTGACTCAATTGCCATTTGAAATATGTATTCAATAAATAACACAATCAAAAGATGAACACAAACTATTGTGAATTGTCGCTGATCGATTTATATTTAAATACCAAATACTACTGAGCTGACAACATTCAGAAAACAAATCGACTTTTCCACTCACACAATCTAATAAGAACAGGAGTTCAAAGGATTATTGTGCGCTTTTAGGGATACAAACGGTTACTGTAAGATGCGTTAGGGTGACCAGGCGCGGTTATTACACAGCATTTACTAACACTGCGAAGGCGCGCATTCCGAAATATTTGAAAACTACGTACAAAATTACTTGAATCGTGAATTAATATTACATATAAATATATATATCACTTTACTAATGTAATATATATCAATTTAAGCTTAACTGTACATACAATTTCAAAAACACAATACTTGACATTTGCGTAGACTACAACTCATTTCGCTTCTCCTGCAGATAATCCTCCTCGTCGGTGCTAACTTCGTAAACATCCAAAGATTTCGATACATTCTTTTGATTCGAATCGTTGAGTTTGTTTTTGCTGTTATTATTATGTGGCGTATCACTTGTTTTCCTCAATTTATTTTCTATGCATTAGAATTACAAATTAATAAGCCAGCGACAAAATTACGAATTTGCAACTTACTTTGCGCAACACGTTCCAGTTCGTCCTCGGTGTCGGGACCAGACGAATGCATCTGGTGCGCTGTGCCCTCGAAGCTGTTATCAACATCATCAACATCAACTGGCCGGCTACTTATGTCAGCTACCATCTCCACATCCTTGTCATCATCATCATCCGCAGTGGGCTTTAGTGATACATCGTACAGCTCCACATCGCTCTCTGGCTGAGCTGATTCGGTTGTATCGAGAGCATATCGACGCCAGGGCAAATACTTTTTCAGCGCATAACACTTCTCAATCCAGTGACGCGTCACAATTTTGCCCTTGCCCTTGACTTGATTGTATTTGGGCGTATTTCGAAAGGCACAGCTGAAAAGAAATAAACAAATTCTAAGTTCACTTGTATACAAATTTATATGGGACATATGCGTACATGAGATGCGTGCAGCCGGATTCCCAGTCAGCTTTGTACTTGGCGCCCAGCGCTAAAGCTTTGGAGCGCAGATCCGCACGATCTGGATTCTGTATGAAAATATGATTGTATTTAAGACATTCAATAATTATTTGAATGCCCACCCACCTGTATGCCACTGATGACCAGGACAACGCCACGCAGCAGGTGATTGAAGGGCACATATTGCACCTGCTGCTCGACATGGGTCTTTTGCTTTTTGGCTGGTTTGCTGCTGTCATCCATGGATGAAGATAGTCGCTTCTGGGGCTGTGCAGCTGCAGGCTTGGGACTCTCTTTGGGCGCTGCAGTCGGTTTGCGAGTCTCCTTGGTCGCAGCAGTCGATTTGCGAGTCTCCTTGGGTGCGGCTGCTGTTTTATCGATAGATGCTCGCTTTTTTTTGTCCCTTTTCTTTTCCAGCTCCTCCAGTTCCAGGCGACGTCTGTTTTTGTTCGCCTCAATGTTTTTCATCAAGCGCTGCATTTTGGCATCAATGGCAACTTCCGGATTGGCAGCGGCAGCCTCATCCTCGTCCGGGTCATCATCGCCAAACATAAGCGAATCTCGATTGCGATCCAAGAGCTTGATATTGTCCGCCTTGTCCGAGCTGGCACTGGCGGCAGGTGATGCTTGCAATTTAATAGGCGCCGGCCGCGTATCGCTCAAACGACGCAAAGCTGCCGGCGAGGCGGCATCTCTAATGGCCGCTGCCGTGCTGATGGCCGGTGCATGGCCATCATCATTGCGTGTGGCCTTCCAGCGCTGAAAGAGCGACAGGGCGGCTTTGCCATCCGGTTCCGAATCGGGTGACTCCTCGCGCAGCGTAAATTGGCCCAGTGAAGCGAGGCCCTTGCCGGCGCTTGGGGCCAATTTGAATTGATCGGGCACCAATGATTTTGGCTTGGCAGCAGCCGCAGCGCCAGTTACATGCACCTTGACAAAGGACAAACCGTACTGGACATGCTTATTGAACGGCTGCGTGCACACAATCTTCACTAGCTTCCATTTCTCGGGCAGCGCTGTCGATATCAACGCTTCGCTGTTGAAGCAGCGCACGCGATTCGTGTTGGCCGAGTTCTTGCTCTCGATGGGCGTCATAAATGAGCTGGAGAGCAGCAATTCCTTAAAGTCTTCGGGCTGGCAGCCTGTTTTGCTGACCAGCACCTCAATAAATGCGGCATGTTCATTGCCAATGTCAATTCCGTTGATTTGTTGCGGCTCCTCAAATTCCAATATAACATGCGCCGATTTCTCACCGTTCGCTTGTGTCTTCCATTTTTTGGCGGCATTTTCCTTTAAGAGATTTGCCGCCACATGCACCTGCAATATAGAGGTTAGTTTGTTAGATAATTGACGCTTCTATATTGTTATTGCATACCGAATCCTCGCTGCTTACTTCGCGCACAGATTTAAAAACCCCGATCGGCATTTCAACACATTTGTTGCCCAGACGCCGGTCATTTGTGGCGGACTTTTGCTGTCTATCGATTTTTATGATGATAGGCGATAGCTGACCGATTTTTATGATGATAGGCGATAGCTGACGGTCTGTTAAACGATTATTATATGTGAAGTACATTCAAACATGCTTAAGCTTAAGCCCATTTGAGGTTTGTCTTTTCTTTTGTTTTTCTTTTTCTACTTACACAATAGTTTTTTGTTTTAGTTGTTGTTAAAGTTGCCTTTGCTTGATTCACACTTATCGATAGTTGGTATTTTTTCGATAAACGTATGCGGTCACACTACACAGCCCGCTGTGATTTGGGCACGAATATGACATCGACTTGAAAGTTTCTTGTTATTAATTTTTTGAAAGCAGTGTCTAACGTACATGCAGGGTCTGCAATATGAATCCACTCTTAAATGAAATACAACGCATTATCACGGATCTACGCACCGAGAAGCCAACCACACGCAATAAGGCAGTCGAGCAGTTGGACCAAAAGCTGAACAGCTCCAGAGATGCCGTAAATGCGGCGCTGGCCAAATGCCAGGAATTGTCCTGGCAGACCATCTTTGACGCCGCCAAGGAGGCAATTTTCAAAGTATGTTTATTCGATATAATAAACACATATATATATATATTGCTTATAAGTCCGTTTATACAACAAATAAGCACGCTGCCAACCTGCAAGATGCCAACGAAAAGTCGTTCAAGACGTTGTCGGATAAATGTTATCTATACGGCAATGTAATGGACAAGATCATTGACTACAACTTGGAGAGTATGCAAACATGCGAGATGACATTGTTAAGCATTAAGACAATTGTCCATATTTGCAGTGGGACGTGGCGGCAACGGGCACTTTCTGGTCAAGTCAATCATATTCGATGCCTTCGAAGAGGGCATCAAGCAGCGTATTGTGGTCAGGCATTTTGGGGATCATTTCATTAATATGCTGGACAGAGGCATCTTTCTATCGCAAAGCTACATTGCCCAGTTGAAAGTCAGCGAATATAGCCGTAAGTTTTAGCTGTGCTTCTTTGCATACAACCTACAAAAATAACCAACATTAATGCATTCCATCAGGCATTCTGTCCTATCTGTTCGAACTGAATGTTGAGAAGGACGAGTTCCTACGCTCCAAGATATTGAAATGTATAACCAAGACACTGCAACTGGCTCAGCAGCGAGTGCAGCTGCATGCCGATCTAGTGGACTATCTGCCCACGCTTAGCAGCTATACACAGACGGCCAGCAGCGCGGAAAGAAAAACGGAAATTGTGCGCCTCTATCAGATATTTGTGGCCGAGGCAAGTGTAAAGCGTAACTGCTTCCGGGCGCAATCTTTGCTAATAGTAGATTCCTCATTACTAATCATTGCCAGCTGTCGGTCAACTATCATCATAAGCTATGCATGCACATGCAGGAAATAATGCCAAAACTTTGCGATTTTCACAACGACGACTCATTCCGCGATGACACCAAAAGGATATTCTTTGAGTGCGTCATATTGTCGCTACAGACGCTATATCCAAAGTTGAATCAACACGACTTTGGTACATTCCAAGTGCCTCTCAACGAGGACTGGCCGCAAACGATGCAACAATTGCGCACCATTGTTAATATGGAGATTAGAAAGAACTGCATGGGCCGCGGCAAATCCTCGGTACTGAACACCGAAAAATTTTCAGATAAATTTATTCAAATGGCTGCTCTGGTCGTTTTTATAGTAAGACGAACGCTAAAAATAACTAGATACGCTAGTAAGACAATAATTCTTGCAGGTTCATTGGCATATTGAGCCGAGAGGCGCCGAAAATGCGGTCGAGGTGCCCAGCAAACGTGCCAGGGTCGATAAATTGGAAGTCATCATCAAACTAATAGACAAACAGGAAACTAGCTTTAATGCCATTTGGTAAGCATATGCGATTTTTGCATGCATTTAGTTCCTTGTGACTTATGCACTTGGCAGGTTCGCCATATTCGCAGAGCTGCTGCAGCTGAGCAATGCAATTA